GCATAGGGGCGAGTATTGGCATAGGTGTTGCGAGTGCTGCATATGTTCATCAGAAGATATTGAGCACTTTGAGCACTTTGGTATCTATGTTGTTTAGGGTTTGAGTAACTCCACTTCTATTACTGTGACTGCCTCAACTACGGAAATGGCGTTGTGCCACTGGTGATGCAGTGGTAGCCAACTTTCCCTTATTGTTTTAGGTTAAAATGTTGTTTTTTTTATAGATATTAGGAACTGAAAGACAGATATTATAACGGGCAGCCAAAAATCACGATATATAGCCAAATCATATCTCATTAAGCATTGATCAAAATGAAATATTCAAGCTGTAAATGAGAATATTATGAACTCTTTACATCCAGGTCAGGTTGACTGTGTGAACCCAGTCATGTGACTCTACTGCTGTCATAGTGGTGCTGACAGAAGTGCCCTAGAGAAAACAAGAACAGTCAACTTAAAACGGGACAAAGAACGTGTCTTCCTGATTTATTACCAAACAGGTTGCTGCTGACTTCTTTAGTTCGTCTTGAGTAAATATTTTTGTAAAGGTGAAACATGAGCTTCAAAAGAAGCTCAGGAAAAAATGCAAAGTTAATTTAGTTTGAACCTAGTAAGGCCAGAGAAGAAAAGGCCATCCTGTTGGCTGAATCAGCTCTAATTGCTTATCACACTTCCATCTTATTTTCCCATGGCAGACTGCAGACAAACCAGATGCGAGCACATAGTTTCAGTCCAGGAGCTGCATACCCCCCACACCAGTTCAAACGTTTCAACTTTTTAGATGACACACAAACTGAAGTTGCGTTAGATGCTGAGAAAAAAAGGGGAAATGAGTCTGTGAGTGAATCCAGCGATCAGACATGCAGCTGCCAGCAGACATTCAAGTGCAGCAAATCTGACTGAGTAACAACATTCCTGCTCCACATACAATTTCTAAAAGAATTGGTCTTTCTTAAACTGACAGGACATCTTGATATTAGAGATTAATGCCAAAATTATTGAAGTTAAAGTCCTAAAGAATAGGAGGAACATAAACTGTATGGTTTTACCTGCTATATAAAGTTTCAGAAACATTTGAAAATTGGCATAAATACTTGAAATAACTAATTGTTTAAGATTTATGTGCCTGCTCAGAGAGCAGATTTGTAGTCAAGTCAAAAGGGAAAAGGATGCATCCCCAATGCCAAGTATGTGTGCGGGTATGCGTGCCCTGCATGCTAAGCGCACAGCTGATGGTTGCCATCACTGCATTCTCTTGTGTCCCACTGCAGGGCACAAAGCACAGATTGATGATTCAGGAGTGTCTATGCTCTCCTCTTATCCCATTTAGGAAACTATGGAGTCTGCTTTAGCGAAAGAAGAAATAAAAATAACTGTTAAAAGCTAAGCTTTTTGCTTAAAAATAACTGATCAGAAAAGATAGAAACACAGACAGTCATGATGTGAAACTTTTTACAAAGATTGTCAAGCAACCCAACAGCTTGTCTGTAGAGCAGCTAACTGCAGGCTAGCAACCAGAGCAGATAACCTGGCAAACTAACCAACTAATACCAGATAGTGAGTAAATAAGTATTTTTTTTTATCTTATAAAAACCAGGGTAAGCGCAAGAAAACGAATCTAATAGTAGGTTTTAATTAATTAGTTGTAATTCATATATTAACTGCTTTGATCATGTACTGCTTTTGCAGCAGTGCAAGTCTTGCTTCTATTTCTTAAATGAAATAGTTTTTAGTTTTTCAACTTCAATACTAACTGTTCCTGGTGTAAAATCCCTACTTGGGCAACAATAACTGTAATCTAAAATCTATAATCCACAGAAACTTCAAATACAGCCGTTTACTGACACCTAATAGGAAAGGTTAGGGTTCAGTAATTTCACTGTTTAGCCCTTATACTCAGAATGCACTATAAGCGGGTGTGCTGTCGCCACATTAGCTCCAAGTGCTTGATTTGTTTTTACGGTATTTGCTGCATGTTGCCTTCAAAACAGCTTTTAGAATTAATGATAACATAAAGTAAACATACCCAAATCTAAGTGTATTATCCTACCCTGAATAAAACTTGTCTATGATCTTTTTTTCCCTTTTTTCCAGGGTTTTATTCTCATTACACTGTCACAAGTACAAAGCAACGAAACAAACTCTCTGCCTTTAACCCATCCCCTTTGGGAGCAGTGGGCTGCCACTGTGCAGCGCCCGGGGAGCAATGTGATGGTTAAGGGTCTTGCGCAGGGATCCAGAGTGGCAGTCAGTGGGTGTGGGGCTTTAACTCAGAACATGGGATTCCAAGCGCAATGGCCTAACCACTTAGCCTCAAAAGCTCCCCTAAAGCAGGCATTAGCGTGACAGGTCTTGCCTAAAGCCCAGCGTTTTTTGGGGCGATTTTCCATTCGTGCGAGAACCTTACGATCGGGCCGACTTTCAGCCCGATCGTGCGTTGTGAGTCGTGTAGTGTACAAGGGGTAACAAGGGGCGATCAGCCTTTCACGACCACTTCCCCATCAGGAATCGTGAGGTTGGAAGAAAATCAAACATGTTTAATTTTCTCCCGACCGTCATGGACAAAACGCCCAGGGCACATGCGCAAACAATGATTCTTCTTTTTATTCTTCCTCTCAGATGTAAACACAGCAGCATGGCAGGGATGCAATGAGTGAAATGCAGTTCTGTCTGTAAAATTGACAGACCGTAGTAGCCACATTTGCTCAGCCAAGTCTTTTTTCCAAATACGTTGTCACCTTTCCTTTGTAGGACTTTCAGGGTTAGGGTTAGCACAAAATTGCACAAATTGCCAAGGCAGCACATTTCACTATATTGAGCTTAATATCCCCCTTCTATTTGTTTGGCTTCAGGATAGAGGGCTACAGAGCAGCTCCATCTCACTGCAGAGCTGAGTCCGACGTGGTTTTTAGTCTTACAGTGTGAGCAGGTAGATTGCATCAGAGCATCGGGCCGAACATAAATCGTGAGCTTTGAGCTCACACTGTACGACTAAACTAGTCGTAGTGTGAGCAGCAGCTGCGCGCAACGATTGCAAAAAAAAAAAAAAAAGCACATTGCATGCCCGGCTTAAGGACCCTGTTGCCATTAGCAACATTGCAGGAAACTAACAGAAGCTTGGAGTAAAACATTTTAAACCAGCTGAATATTAGGATGTTTTCAAATACTTACAGCTGATTTCAGAGGTGTCAAGCAACAAAGTACAAATACTTCATTACTGTACTTAAGTACACTTTTTAGGTATCTATACTTTACTCCATTACTTATTTTTCTTCCTACTTCTGACTTCTACTCATTATATTTTAACACAAGTATCTGTACTTTCTATTCCTTACATTTTTAAAACAAACGTTACTTGTTTCTCTTGGCTTCTGTTTAATGTTTATAAATATTTATTTCTTGTCATGTGCCCCATCCAATACAGATAATTGGCACCATCCACATCTAGTGAAAACTAGTGTCATTGGATGAGTCATATAACGCAAACACTCATTGGTTAGCTAAAAGAAATCATCAGAGACAAGCAGGTGTTCTTCAAACTGCAAACATGAATTGTCTATGCCATGCTACAATGTCAGATTCAGAAAACGTTGTTGAAATGTCTGAAAGGTCGGACACAGGCGAGAGCGTATCGGGAGATGGAGACCAACAAGACCTTCCTCATCCTTGGCCCTATCTCAAAGAATTTTTCTAAATAGTCGAAAAATTGAGCTTTCAATTCATATAGTGGCATCTGGCAGTTTTTTTTAAAGGTTATTTTGTACTTTTATACTGTACTTTAAGTAGTTTTTGGAGCACATACTTTTTCACTTTTACTTGAATAAAGAGGTCAACTTGATACGTCAACTTTTATCAGAGTGTTTTTAAACTGCAGTATCTATACCTCTACTTAAGTAACAAATGTGTGTACTTTTGACACCAGTGCTGGTTTCAGGTTTTTTTTTTATGTTTTTATGATAATTTCAGAAATAAACTACAATCAAGCAAAACCTGTTTCTCAAATACAACATTTTACTGTTCAAACATATTTTCAACAGTAATGAATGTGAGGTATTTTGCTGAACCAATAATGAATAAGTTAGATTCATTAAAAGTATTTAATGGCATTCATTTAAAAACAAACACTGCTAAGCAATGTTTTGACACATTTCCTTTTGCAACAGCTTCAATCTAAATTGTGTGAAAAGTAACAATTTTTAGATTTTAAAAAGTATAGTGACCAACATCCTTGTTTCCAGCAACTACAGTGTTTGGCAATAAAGGGTAGCCAATAAAAGCAAAAGCAAGAATGTAAAGATGTCAAACAGATCGTAAATGGTTAAATGAAATAGTAAATATTCTAAGAAAGCCATAAAGGATCCATCTCTTTGGTTCATTAGCTATAATGCAGCTAGCAATGTCATCAAACCAGGCAGCCTTTCACCTATTTTACAACCTGCTCTGACCTAGCTATGTAAATTCCTAGTGAGAAATGAGATGACCTTTGACAGTAGAGTGTAATACCAACAAAAGCATCGGTTTTATACAATGTAAAACAGAGATTTTGAAAACACATATATATATATATATTTCTCATTTTTCTTGTATTCTTTTTAAACTAAACATCTGGGTCTCTCACTGAAACTTCTTTACGGAAGAAAGTGACGCGTCCAGCAGGGAGCACGTGAGTGGCAGGCAAATCATCCAATAGCATTCTTGGACCTGACCGTAAACATTCCAAGAAATCCACACGCAGCCAATCACCGGAAGGAGGGGGCGGAAACCTTTTCCTCTCAAGTTAGATAGGTTCACAGAGGCCCAAACCCCCCCGGGGGTAAAAACTGAATTATTACCGAAGAACACTGACGTTAGTTGGGCAGTTGAGGAGCGGTTAGGATATGTGTACCGGACACAGCCTACAAACCGCACAGCTATAACTGCAACGGGAATAATAATACACAGACTCCAAATAATTAGGTGTAGCACCGGTGTAAACAGCATGTGAAATAAACAAGACCTACCCAGAAATTTTCTAGGAAGTAAGGCGTTAACATTTTGTTCCTTTCCACTTCGCCGCAACTCTTCCAGCAGCTGTAATGCGACTTTAAACGCGTAAATCATCCACCGTTCTCTCCCCCAGTTTCTGTTGTGCCTTTCACCGTTTTCCTCCTCTCCCCTTTCTTCTCCCTCCCCACCTCCAGACTCCACCTCCGCCAGACTGAGCTCTGTTGCTGCTTTTCCCAGCGGTTCCTTCCCCGGACTCGGAAAGAAACAGCGCTACCACCGGCGGTTGGAGAGAGACGCGTGCTGCCTTCAGGGGCTCTCCGTAAATTCCTCAATCAAACAAAGGAAAACATTTTTTATTAATTTATATAACAAACCAATAGTGTACAAAGATTCGTTGTATGGCAAGTCTTTTTAACATAAATTCGGTTTCGTCTGACCATCCGTAATTACGTTCCAGATATCTTAATACATTTTGACTATCCGGAATGGTAATTTAAGATGACTGTTTTTACATTCTGATTAGGAAGAATAATAATTCAATATATCTTAAATTACATTTAGACTAGTCAAAATTCCTTTCAAGATATCTCAAATTATGACACCGGAACTGTTATTTAAAGAGTCACACGCTGATTTAACTTCTCCTGTGGATCAAACTGACGGTAAGGAATTTTTTAGGAATGATCCTCCTGGAAGCCCACTAAAAAGATCATTACACATTTTGGCTAGTCAGAATTTCAATTTAGGATATCTTTAATGGAAAAGCTAAATAATGTGTTATCTTTAATTAATTTAGAGATATCCTAAAAGGAATCTCAAATAGTCCAAATTACAATTCAAGATATCTTTATATTTGTTTTGTCTAGTCATTATTTGCTTTTAAGATGTCAACAATTTAGTTATCACTAGTCAAAACTGCATATCTCCTATCCTAAAATACATTTAAGATATCATGAATTATGGTGGCATGTGAGATATCTTTAACTAGAATTATGACTAGTCAAAACTAAAATCGAGATATCTTGAAATTATTTTATGACTAGTCGTAATTTAATCATAGATATCTGAAATGTGTATTTCAGATAGTCAGTAATTCATTCTATATATCTTAAACTGACGTCTCCATACAAGTTAATGGTAAATCTGACGTCATTTCGACTAGTCAAAATATAATTAGAGATATATTTAAAATCGCTAAAACGTCTTGTCATAAAACTATTTAAGATATCTTGAATGTAAAGGCGGTACGACCAAATTTATTTTAAAATGGCTTGCCATACTCGTTGAGGTACAAACATTACAATATGGGTAGGGGGGGAAAAAATAAACAGAACTTGGGGCTAAAAACAAGAACAGATACATAAACAATAAGGCCAATATAGAGCAAGATTTAAAACAAAAGAAAAGTAGAAATACTGGCAGATACTTTTTTGGCAGAAACGGATTTCAAATGTTTCAATGAGGTGTAAAACTATTTAAATTAGTTAAGAAATAAATCAAAACAAGGAGTAGAACCTCTCCATTTACAACAATGTATATGATAAGCAGGAAAATAATATCAACCATATCTGAAATTTTACTATCAAGGTCATCAACATAATACAACACGTTTGGATGTCCTCAATTTTAAGGGACAACCAATTTTTTATGTCTCTCCGTAGTTTGAAAGAAAAGGGACAGGGAAAAAAAGATGATTAAGGGATTCATCCAGAAAAATCCAAAAAGGCACAGCTTGTTCAATTCAAATCTCTTGTGCAAAATTTTATTCACTGGGTAAATATTTTGCACAAGAGATTTGAAAGTTAGTCTCTTTAACCTTTTTTGAAACTGGCCATTTAACATACCTAGAGAATGCCTTCTTAAATAAGGGCAAATTATTGTTGTCAGAAAACTATTATAGTAATCATCAAATAATTTATATTTGAAGGCAGTCACAAAGCATAATCAAAGGAGCATAACAATAGCTCATAACACTTGGGTGAAGTTGCCCCCCCACCTTTTTCAAATGTCAAATGTTTGTGCTACGTTTCTGCTGGTTTGTGCAGCAAAAATTTTTGTTTGTGCCGCTATCATTTTAAAGATATAAAGAAGAAATGTTTGTAGAGGTCATCAAAGATCAACCAGCCCCCCACCTTTAAATCAGATGAAATGGATGTCAATTAACTCAGCTCCATTTGTGCTGGTTTGTGAAGCATAAATTGTCGTTTGTGCTGCTTTGGCTTTGAAGACATTAATGAAAATGTAAAGGTCAAAAGGTCAACCAGCCCCCCCACCTTCTTCAAATTAGACAAAAATTGGTGTCAAACGTTTGTGCTACATTTGTGCAAAAGTTTTCGTTTGTGCCGCTATCATTATAAAGATATAAAGAGATGTTTCTTTGATGACCTCTACAAAATATTATTAATATCAATAAAATGATAGCAGCACAAATGAAAATTTTGGCCATACAAAAATATAACATTTTAAAATGAATTTTAAATATAAAATATATACAATAAATATATTTAAAACTTAAAAATGCATATTTTGAAATATATACATTTTTTGTACTGCTATCATTTTAATGATATTAATAATTGTTTGTAGAAGCCATCAAAGATCAGTTAACATTTGTTCATTCTGAAACTCTGAATTTCATATAAATTATAAGTTGCCAACCTATGGTTATATAATTTTAAACTATACAAAAATGATAAAGGCACAAACAAAAATTTTCGCTGCACAAACGGAGCCGAGTTAACTGACACCCATTCTGCCTAATTTGAAGAAGGTGGGGGGGGGGCTGGTTGACCTTTGATGACCTCTAGAAATATTTCTATTTAAAATGGTAGCGGCACAAACGAAAGTTTTTGCTGCACAAACCTGCACAAACATAGCACAAATGTTTGACACTAATTTTGTCTGATTTGAAGAGGGTGCGGGGGGGGCAACTTCACTCAGGTCATGTGTCAGTGAATTGGTGCAATATAAATAAACTGAATTGAAATATTTGCATCATATATATTAATGCTCTAGACTTCCATATCAATGCATTTTTGCACCATGTATTTGAATCACTGCTGCAGTTTATGAAATGAAAATGTTGATTTTGCCGCTAAAATCTCATCTCTGTTTTGTATACACTGTGTGTATACAAAACAGAGATGAGATGCCGGATGGTGCCAAAACAGAGATGAGATGCCGGATGGTGCCAAAACAGAGATGAGATGCCGGATGGTGGACCAGAATCGCTTCGGAGCCGTACGGAAGTCTTTCTCCATGGCCTCTCCAAACTCCTCCCACACCCGAGTTTTTGCCTCAGCAACCACCCGAGCTGCATGCCGCTTCGCCCGCCGGTACCCATCAGCTGATTCCGCAGTCCCAAAGGCCAAAAAGGCCAAGTGCACATATGGACACCCTTATGCTTGAACATGGTGTTCGTTATGGACAATCCATGACGGGCACAGAAGTCCAACAACAGAACACCACTCGAGTTCAGATCAGGGCGGCCATTCCTCCCAACCACGCCCCTCCAGGTCTCACTGTCATTGAGTCATTGATTGTAAATCCTAATTGTTTAATTTCAAACACAATTAAATATTTCAGGGGCACTGTTATGAGGATGGGCAACCAGTAGATTTGTAACTTTTGGGGTCCCTAGAGGGTCCCAGGTAGTAAGTAACCAAAGATTGGGCTTTAAAAGAAGTTGACTGAAACACTTTGACAGGTCTCATGTTTCGTAAAATCTTTTATAATAGTTTTTTAAATGCTCTGTGCTTCCCCCTTTTCCAATTTTTTTGAAAATATATATTTAACATATTTGCTTCAAAATCACCTTCACCAATACTTTTCTGTCCTTGCTTTGATTTAAAAAAAAAACAAATAAACAGATTCTTTAAACAAGTTTTAATTAAGTTTTTGTGTGTGTGAGTTTATCCTGCTCTGACTCATCTAATGACCATCAAACTCTGCCACAAGAGGAAAGATGCAAAATGCAAACATGTTCCTTTGATCCCACAATTATAAACTGTAAAATCTTTAGAGCAGAAATACACTAAATAATATATTAATAGGAGTTAAGCTTTATCAAAAATGGTTTGTAGTTTGTGGAGGGAAGTCATCGCTGAAAGAAAAATTTAAAAGAAGAAAAAGAAACCAGCAAACTAGAAGAATGTCATCTTTCATTTTTCTCTTTTCACAAACTAGTTTTAGGTCAGAAATGTGGCAACATAACAGGTCGGTAGCATTTAAAAAATGTCAAGGCGCTGCTTTCATATAAACACAAAAAAGTACTTTTCCATTGACAGATAATGCTCTAGTGATTATACTGCAAACATGTGTGGTTATGATAGGGGAGGGTCAGTTATTAGCCTTGGGGAAGGGAGGGGGAGGATGTAAAATATCCTGATTACTTCCAGTCCGGACATTTTTAAAATGATTTAAAGAGTATTGTTTTCTTCAATTATGGTCACCCAACAGCTGTGTGGTTAAATCAGCTTTTGAACAAAATTTCGATTCTGTAATTATCTAAACTAGTTTAAAAAAAAAGGTTCCTAAAGTATATAGTATAAGTAAGTATATAGTTATGCTTAAAGGTTTACATACCCTTCTATTAAAGACAGAAAAAAATCAGGAAGAATCTAGGAGGAAAATAAATTGAAATTTGACAAAATAAATCAGTTCTAAAAACGGAAATCGTATATCTGTGTACATATCAATTAATAATAGTAAACAAGCCTGATGAAGCTCCTGTCACTGAGCAGAAATGTGAGACATCCCTGAAATCAGGTGTTTTCTGTAATGCTCAGTCGGACTTCAGCACCTGTTGACACGTATGTTGGTTCACTGCTCATGAGCAAGGCACTTTAATTTGTCTCAGTTTTTCTTCATACAAAAATTCTAAATCAATTTCTTATTTTACCAAATCATTAAGTACATTTTTTATTTCTTACCTTTTCAGTTTAGTGTTATTTGAATTACAAGTGTGAATTTATCATTTTCTTTAATGGGGGTGTAATGTAAACGATCAAGAACAACTGTATATTTGACTACTGTAGGACTAAAATATAACTAGAGTCTAAAGACTAAAATAAAACTGTCATTCTTTTCATTCTCTAGGCTTCAAACGGTCCAGAGCAGAGTTGAACTGAGGTCGTCTTAAGGCCTTTCTTGGATCAGTGACAGCAGGTCTGCTTCAGATAAGCCCATGAATTTAACAAGATCAACCTCAAGCTGATGCTAGAAACTTGCAGCAGAAATACAACATTAGTGTAATTTAGGACTCTGTTCAAGGCTGCCAGTCTTTTAATTGTTAATGTTTTGCACAATCTGTGAAGAAACAAGACAAAGACTCCCCATAATGTAAACAATTTATTGGAACAATGTATAGATTCAAGCAATGGTAATCATTCACACCCACTTTATCATCTTACAAATATTACAAAATTACTACAGTACAATATAGAGTCTTTGCATGATCCAAAATATTTGGTGGCCCCAAAAGTATTACTTGTTTCTAAATTCAGCAGCTTGTTAAAAAAAAAAGAAGAAACCAAGTCTATCAAAATTATGTTTTTGCTTCTCTTAGCAAAAAAGGTGAAAGGCAGATTAGCTATTGAAGTTAAAAGGCTGATTGGATTACAGAATACAGGAGCTCAGTCATCGCTAACTACTGGTAGGTGCTTTATAAAATGTAGTCGTTTAATAAAGCTCTGTAGAAAGTCAACATTTTTTTGATTTTTCAACTTCGTATTTCTGGACTGGTTTCAACACAGTATACTGAATATATTGCAAATCAAGGAAATCTTGCTCTTATGGCATTTATGTAGAGAATACACTAAGGTCAATCACTTTTGCTTTAGGTAAAAGGTATACGAAATATGTGCAAGTTACCATTGCTGAAATGTTCTTTATTACCCTTAGGTTTTTGACAGCTCACAGTGCTGCAAGTAACAAATCTGTTAACATCCATGTTTATCCATTTCTTACATGAAAAACATCTTTTTTTTTTACTACTTTTTAGGACTTTAGGGGGATGCATAAAAGGTGTACACATTAAGAAAATAAAAAAACAACATAAAAACACTGGAACACAAGCAACCTGAGGTTTACACTTAGAAAAGACATATTCAAGTGGTGAAACAAAACTACAATGTTTAGCAGCGGTCAAGTCAGAAGGACAGCACAGTAACGACGGGCATTCATTTGTGTTGGGGGGGGATTTTTTGTATAGACGTACATTCTTTTAGTGAAAGAATATGAGGACTGAACACACCCCGTCTAGCTGTGATCGCAGCATTTCTGTGCACGCCAAACAGCTGGAATGTGCCAGACATAAAAAAAAAAACCCAAAACGCTTCCAACAAAAGAGTAATGGGGAAACACACACGCACAAGTCTTTGCCTCTGTATTCCATGATGCAATTGTTACCTATAAGAAAGACGTCACAGTCCCTTTCAAAAGTGCTCAGTTTTTAACATTTTGTTCAACTATAAACACCAATTTAAACTCATTTCATTGGGACTCAGACATGGAAGCGGCTTCAGGGAAGCGTTTTATCCAGCTGCACAGACAGGCTAGGTGGGGAGAGCATCTCAGGTGCTCTTTGGTCACATGAGATGAAAAGGAAACCTTTTGGTGGACTTTTAAAAATCTAACAATGGGTAATAAAATGAAAACAAGTTAGAGATATGCCCATGCTGAGGTGAAGCTGAGAAGTACGGCTGCAACTAACGATTATTTTGTAAAACGATTAATCTGTCGATTTTTTAAAAATTAATTAATAATCGGTTAGCCAAAGGGCCCCTAAAGAAACCTTTGGTGAAATTAGACCAGGTGAAGCTCAGACTTTTCCACTTGAGTTCTGGATAGAGCATATTGACAGATGAAAACTTTTCTTTATCTTAAATGCAAAATGTTTATATCTTTTTTTTTTACAAATGTGATATTACTGCTCCAAGTGGGTTGCTCTGACAGCTAACTGTTTCTATTCTCAATTTAACGATTAATCGTTAAGTAAATTTGTTGATTATTTTTAAATAATCGATTAATGACAATTAATTGTTTCAGTAATATTATGAACCGATGGGTGGAGCTAAACTGTGGGCTGCAAAACTGACGTAGAGGTAGAGCTTAAAACGGCTTAGTTAAAACCATGTTCATGTATGAGGGGGAAAAAAAGCTCAAAGTCCAGGGCTAGATCGAATAAAGGTGTTTTTTTTTTTGCAAGAAGCACTGTTAGTTTTGGGTTAGTTTAAATAAGAGTATGAGGGGAAATATGTGAGTCTCTAGCTGTGCAAATGTCCTGAGACTTGCAGCAAAAAATAAAATAAATAAAATTTAAAAAAATCAGCAGCTGTGAAAATTGTTGAACCCAATTAAGACTTTTGAATGATGAATAACTTTCTTGCAATTCACTAGTATTTATCATAATTTGTGGTTGTAATGTAATTTGTGGTCACAGCATAAAAACCTTCAAAAGGGGTATTAATACTTTTGAAAGGCACTGGAATTATCTCCATCACTATAAATCTACATTTTCAGTCCAATTGCATGAAGACGCTTATTGCATTAGGTAAAAACTTCATTTGAGCAGCTATAATTAATAATCCGCCATCAGTGTTGCAAAGATTCAAATACTGCAGTTAATTACTCTGGCCAGCAGAGGAAAAACAACTAACTGGGTTCATTAATAAAATAAAATAAAAACTACCATCATGGAATACATTCAGGCTGTAACCTTCAACAGTTTTGACACTTAAAAAAAAATATAGATACAACACAGAAAAAGCAGACGCATTAAACATTCTTCACAGTATTTTAAAACTACATCCATCAATGGGAGGAGGTGTTCAGGGAGAGCACGCCGTTACGCAAAGTTTATATGCGTCCCAGTGTCATCAACTTGAAGCACTCCTCCCTCCCACTGAATGTTTTAGCATGAGGGGGCCACCAACATGCAAGACATGAAAGCATCCAAGTACCCCACAGTGACAACCACCCGACACAGTACAGTCATCCTCAGGATCATGCTTTTAGCACAGAACAACCAGGAAAAGAACTTTCTAAATACACAGAAAAAAAAAACATGTTTGACACTGATATTATGGGGCAGTGGCAGCTCAATGGCGTTAATTAAATCCAAACATCAGGTATTGCATTAACAAATGTTGAAACACGTAAAACACAATACAACAGGTGAAAATAGCTGTTGTGAAACGCTCTGAAATGATAAACTCCAGACTGAACAATCACTTTTTCCACTCGGCTCATGAGGAAAACCTCCTTGCTGTCAGTAATACATCCGTCAGCATGTTTGCCGATCAGCATCGAGCAGCCAGCTTCACGGCCCGCCCCTGCTCCATTTACACTACCCATTTTAAACCGTGCCAAGATAACAGTTTAGTGTAAATGGAACGCAACTGACCTGGACCGTGCCAGATAACTGTACCACACTAAATCTAGTACTAAGTCACGGCATGGTTCACTTATGGCTCGGTTCTCTGATTAAGAAGAGCATGAGCAGATTGCTTCATCTCCTATCTACAGTCAGCATCCAGTGGTTGGCGGTAATGCACATAAGTTGCTTGACAACCACCATAAAACAGAAGAACTGTAAAACAACAACTGAAATCTTTTCAACACTACATTTTATAAAATGGCTTCAAAAGAGCGTGGTGCGACCTGGGATTACGCAGAGACAGCCTTCTTCGTCTGATCTCCGCAAACAACAAAATATCACAATTATAACCAAACATAACTTCCTGAATGTTACGGGCGCCGCCATTTAGATTTGCTTGATTCCCTCCTTCAGTCCTAGAAAGCAGTAGTACCGTAGATCATCACTTGGAGGCGAGGAACTGCGCTAGCGTGATGTGTAAACGGTCGTAAGGAACGGAGCTTTGCACGGTTAACTGATCCAGGCTCGGTCCGAACTCAGCACGGATAGTTTTTCAGAGGGTAATGTAAATGGGGCATATGAGGTTTAGCCTCACTGGAAGTGATATATTTTTGGCGTGTTATCCAATCAGGCCTCTACTTTCTCGCTGCTAAACTCAAACTTCAACAGGGATTTCTCGTAGAGGCTAACAGGCAGCGTCCTGCTGCTCCAGAGTGGAGGAGTGATCGAGTCCAAGAGCGGCTCATCAGCTGTGCAACACACTCATGAAATGAAGCGCATATGTAATGCAGTTTAATGACTACATTTCTGAAGTTTGACAATGCACATTTTACCAATAATTTAACAAAAATGTCCAGTGGAGGTTTAGTCTCCCTGGTCTTCAATAAGAAATCGTCACTGTTATGGGATATTTGGTTCTGATTGCAGAAAGTCACAAAGCATACGTGTTTTATATCACTGAGGTCAAAACACAGGTTGCCAACCTGCTTCCACTTCAATTTTCCTTTGGAAATTTCCACCATTAAAAAAAAAAACTAAAACTGTTTTAGGCAGCTAAAGATTTGATACGCTCGCTAAAAAACAAATATAAAATGAAATAAAAATGTCACATTCACACCACAAAAACAAGAGACTCATTCCAATGTCACATCACAGCTGAACACGACCTAAACTCAGCGTAGACCCTGCCATGCTACGTTACAGACTGCTGTTGAAAACAAAATTAAAAGTATTTTAAATATAGATTACACAATCAAAGAACAACCTTATCAAATGGCAATGACGGCTGTCAACACACATCACTAATGTTCAACAGCTTTTCACAATATTATAAGCATGCTACCTAATCCCAGAAAAGCTGCTCTTGAATTGTGCTCCCTGGTGATTGAATGAGGAGGCATTCGCCCTGCTTCAATGTTGAAATAATAGGTTACTTCCTTTGGATGATATGCAGCGTTCTGAAAGTACTTTTTTCAGAAGTGGATTCGATAAAATGCTTTCTTAGCATCAGCTGATTTGAGATAAAGCATCTTGATAATCAACCTAAAATCTTAAGATTTATTTTTTTAGTCTAGGAAATCTATTTATCCTGAACTAAAATCTCACACAGACTCATCAGTTTCTCCTAATATTTACCTTCTGTGTTCCTGAATGATATCTGAAGAATTAAAGCAAAGAAAATAAAAGTGATATTGTCCATTATTTGTGATTGAGATGGTTAAATTAAAGATCCTCCCATGATAAGGTTGAATTGCCAGTTTCTGTCCCTCCCCAGCTTAGCGCTTAAGGGCACTGAGAACTTGCAGCTACCATCACCCCTCCCACCCCTTCCTCCAGGTCAGGGAGGGGTCTGCACCCTCCCTCCCCTGTAAAGGGTTAACATGTTCCCAGGGATGGTTCCCTATCTTGTCTCCCATGGTGAATGACCTGTGCAGAGAAAGAAGAGTAAAGGCAACATTACTCCATGTATCGACATCTAGAAATAAAATTAAAAGAACGAAGAAACTGACCCCGCGATGAGGCACAGTGCTGTGGAAAACCTTTACACCCCGTAAAAGGTAGTCAGTCGCTCCTTCAAAGGCAGCGGGAACTGATCTGAAAAGCGCCTCCAGTTCTCTTCGCCCACCTGGTTCTTGAACCCGTGAAGGATCTGAAACCAGAAACCAGAACGGCTTTAATGCCAAGTTGGAAAAAAACATGATATTCAAAGCAGACAAAAGACAATGTAGTGAAGTCAGCTAAGTAAAAAAAAACAACACAACATTTGATCAATCTGTAGCTGTAAGTGATCCACTTCACCATCAACAAACCATCTCCATGATGCATATATCAGGCCAAGAAGATGCTTTTCCCTAGCAGGAACAGGGAAGCTGGTCATTTTTTTGGAGGAAAATATCCTCTAACATCCAGTCTGTTATGGTGAAAGGCTGCTAACACAGCCTGGTGGTTTCCTCCTGTGTAAAGAGTTTTCCTCTCCACTGTCGCTACATTCATGCTAGGTATAAGGGATTGATGCATTGTTAACCAGATTATGGAAGCGAATGTCCTCTGTTGCTACATTCTCATCCAGGAAGAGTGAATTTTGTAAGACGATTTGACGCAAGCTGCTGAGTTTCTTTAGATATAAAACTAAAGAAATCTGTTGGGATTATTTGATTAAAATAACTCTGAGCGTTAACATGTTAATTTTTCATAAGACCGACTGGAATAAAAGGAGCTATATAGGATGCATCTTCCTTACTCTTTATTGCAGAAATTAGTCACAATGGGAAAAAGTTTATGGAGTAAAAGGCTGGTTATACTCCCCCATCAGTGTGTCGCAGTGAGCTTGTCGCAGGTATGACGCAGATATTTTTGATTTATGCCAAATATTGAAGCGTTGTCTGCACTATGTTATTCGACACCACAACGCAAGTGGGACAATCACGAAGTAGCAGTGGATCTAGATACAGCCGAGGAGGTGAGGAAATGGAGGCAAGTTTGTGCGACAATGGAGTGCGAAAAAGAGCGGGGATCCAGGTGGAAAAAGGGTCCCAGCGTTCTCGTGTACGTAGCTCTTCTAGCTAATCCATCTTCACTAGACGTTTTCCACAATGGTGGTCATACGAACAAAACAAGCCGGAAAGTACCAAACAGGAAATACGCATAGGGTAGAGTGGATGTAGATTTGACCAATCTACTCCTGTCTGCGGCCACCTACGATTTTGGAGAGGAGCAGCAGAGTGTCTGTATTAACTGAGACACACACGTAGACGACCTGGTTTCTGAGTATAAATCAGCCTTTAGAATAGCACTTGTCATTATGGCTTTAGGCCACTAGGGACATTTTTTTATTTTTTGTTTATCGTTTAATTTGACCACATCTTCAGTTAGCTGTTCTATATTTTTACACATTTTACCTTGTAGAACATTTCTCTGAGATCTTCCTTTGGGTTTACCCAGGAAGCCACTGCGTCACAGAAGAATATAAAGTCCTGTTCCAAAGAAAAGAGGTGAGGCAACATTTCATCTTCAGGAGCCATAGATAAACAATTGGGACCGACACTCACCTGAACAACACCTCCTGGATTTACACTGATCATTGTACAAATTCCTCTGAATGCAGAGTCTTTCTCCTCATTGTCTCTTATATTTCGCAGAGACGTGCACCTGACAGTAGGGATGGCCAAGTTCAACATTGAATATATCAAGATCATTACACAGTGACACATTAACAACTTCCACTTCTTTAATTTAATGCTAATTCATGTATTTAGAAATATAGACAGCCTACTGAATCCCTAAATTAATCAATTTCTTAGCTTTAAAAACTTCTAACATGACCTGTGATCAGTACAACACCATAAGCATGCACACAAAACAAGTCAGTTTTTGCATGTAACACAACTACACTGACTAAAAATAAATAAATAAAACATTACTGTTGCCTATATGCAGTGTGTTCAGCAAAACCTCATGTGTAGCACCTTGAATTGAACTTTTGTTTGTTTTAGAGAGATTTACTAGAAAAGCTTGGGATAGTTCTGGGACAGGTCATGCAGCTGGGTGACTAGGAAACGAGAAAGGGATTTAGGAATGCTCTTTGGCATTAAAAGCATCCTTTCTCTGTTTTTGAACCAGCAGGCATGTGACAATTCTGATCCCATGCATCTTAGAAGTTGTTAGCGACAATTAACAATGGCACAAAAAAAAACAACAACTAGAAATTAAACAACTTAATGTGTAATACATGAAGGTGCTACTGAGGCGATAAAAGAAAAATCACAAGTAGGACCTAAAAAAAGGACAGGGTTAGTCACATGGTTGGCAATGATTACAAACTGATAAGAAAAAAACTGAAAAAAGAAGTTTGTTTTAGAAGCGAGGAGGAGGAGGAAGAGGAGGAGAGGAGATCAGGGGAGGAACAGGCGACAGAGGAGAAGAACAGAGCAGAGAGAGAGATGAATTAAATAAAAGATTGAATAATACACACCAGGGTCTTATAAACTGCTGTAGCATGGGTGCCACCTCTTGAGGACAAACGTAACCAAGACGACCAATTGTTATTGCTAAGGTAACGCAATCACGGTTACACACCACCAAACGCCAACGAAGACATGAGCAATGAGGAGGGGGGAGGAGAAAAAATAAAGAAAAAACAAACAACTCAGAGACATAAAAATCAACAGAATCCGTGTATGATAATAAAACAGAAGACTTCACTAGCGTTGATTACAACTGCCCCCCCTTCGGTCGTGGGCAGGAATGTAAAACATGGCACTCTAAAAAAAGACATACAGATCGTTTAAGGGAGAACACATCGACAACTCTCACAAAGACATTCATAGAAACAAAGGCAAACATGGATGTCTGCTTTCAGAAACCCTAATGGATCAAACAGTTATTTTATTTTTTTTTTCAGATCTGGTAAGAAAATAGATTGAATGTCATTAGCTTAACTTTAAAATGCACAATTCCAGAAACGGGGGATTAAAAAGAAAGGTGTGGCTAATGTAGCTTTTCAGAGATTTCTCCCTTAAACTCACAAATGTTGATTTCAATCAGAAATATTTGGATTTTTTTGTTTTTCTTTTGGAAAAGAAAATGACTCATTACTCCAAGCCAACTACATGGAGGGAGACTAGTATCCAGCACAGCAGGTTCTTATGAGGCAGAGAGGAGGGAGGACCTAAGTTTAAGAGACACAAAACTATGCAACATTCTCATTAAACAAACAGGCATTTATGAACAGTCCAATGAAACATGCAGAAAGCAGATGGTACGCTCATTAGAGTAAAGTTCAGTGCAGGATCAGCTGATCGGAGGCAAACTAAGGAGGGCCGCAGCGCTCGCCAAGAATTCACAGCCACGCAGCCAGTTACTCTGGCATGAAAGCGACTGCTTTATATTTAGTTCCAGTCAAACCGGCTTTCTTTATTTAACCTCAGTTTTACATGACTGAAAAAAAAATATCTGACTTTGCATTTCTTAGAGCTTTGTAAACGTCCTTCCCTTGAACCATTTCACTTTTATTCACAATACATTTGTTAAATTTGGACATCTTGCATAATAGATAAAAGCAGCACGTAGTGATAAAAATCTGAAAAGTGTGGAGTTGTTTTCTGAAAACAGTTTGTTAAAACACAAAAAACCTTTCAGTAAAATTGAAGCCGCATCGCTCTATACACGTCTGCGATTGCCAATACTTCTATGCTTCTTTGTCTTCCTCTATCAGTGGTGGTTCTAGACCAGATTTACTAGATTTACAGCGCGCAACTGAAATAATTAGTTACAAAATAATTATCTACTCAAAGATTAAATAAATGTATTCTTTGCCATATTAGATCAACCTACATGAATAATTCCAGAATATTACTTATTTTGACTATTTAAATGAAAATTACAAGTTTTAATCCAATTAGATTTAAAATGTATGTAAAACTGATAATTTCATCAGTAACAAGTTTGAGTATTTTTTTTTTATTTGGTTCAAAATGATGACTGAATCATCACGTTATTATTAAATCTAATTTAAAACAGGATGGTAAAGAAAAAGCTGAAATGGGTCCAAGGAACCCATCAGTCACTATGTCTGCTCCAGCACACTAGATTCGTTTTTTTCTCCCTTTTTTGTATTATGACATCAGTACAGGGGCTAGAACCAGTTCAACAGGGGCACTGCCCCCTGTTGGCCACCATTTAGAACCACCCATGCTGAAGATAAGTCAGCTGCAATGACTACTTTGCATCGCCAACCATAAGTCTCCCCTAATGCGGCTTTACATGAGAGTAACGTGGAAACCGCACACAAAGAGATTAATTGTGGCCAGAATGAATGGAGCCTTTCTGTAAACATCTGATTTATAAATGCACTTTGAATAGATCAATATGCTGGTGAAGATTCTCAGTCATCCAGGCCATAGTCATTCCAAAAAAGTTAAAACACAAACCACTGGACTTTGTTTTCCAAGTTTGAAGACATTTGTTTCCCCACAGAGACATAGGCCAGTATCGGGTATTGTAGACCATCAACGACCTCAACAACTCCCCATTACCAAGGGGCGACCTGTTTTTTCCGGTTCAATATGCACATTTTTTAAGCCATAACAAGGCTTTGTTGGGCTACTATATGAAGCTTGGAGCTCAAAGATAATCCAGGCATATTGATTTGAAAAAGCTTCCTGGATGGGAAGCAAAACGTGTTCAACAAAACTTGGGAAACATAACACATATTAGTGCTATAAAATTTTTCCTTTAAAAGTTATTTCTTCCATTATGAGCTGTATTAGGCATACTTCTATCAATTCTTTGATCAGGTTTGAAGTACTTCTTTGAGCAGAATGCAGCAGAGCATGACACTGCCGCCACCACATTTCTCTCTATTCTGGTATAAATGCTCACTACTTCTCAGCAAACTCTACTAGGGCTAAATCAATTAATCAGATTAACTGTGATAGATCAATTATTGAAATAATCTTCAACTAATTTAGTAATTGATTAATCATTAACTGGAGTATAGAGACTCTAAAACATCTCTAACGGACAGAGTAACCCAATTAGAGCAGTAACTATAGCAAAATTGTAATAAAATATACAAACATTTTGCATTTAAGATATAAAAAAAAGAAAAATTTCTCCTGTCAATAGGCTCTCTTAAGTTTTAGTTTCACCTGGTATAATTTCATGAAAAAAAAATCTTCTTTACAGAATGTTTCGCTATTATTAATCGATAAATCAAAAAAAAAAAAAAAAAAAAAAAAACGACAGATTATTCGATTTACAATATAACTGTTGAAGCCCTAAGCTCTACGTTATTTTACTTCGATTTGTGGTTGTATAGAAAAATTGTGGAAAGGTTCAAGGGGTAGGAATACATTTGCAAGGCACCGTCTGCAAGAAAGAGGGAGGAAAACCATTTAGCCGGTTATAATGTTTGGGTTTTCTTATTTGAACTTCATGATTACTCTAAATGCATCATGTATCCTGCATTAAACATTGGCCAGTCTTAACATTTAACACCTATTAGCAGAAATGCATTCACATTTAAAGAACAGTAAATAAAAGCAACACAAACTGACAGCAAACAAACAGGTACACCTCTAAAGAATGCCTAATTTGTCTTTTTTTGGCAGGTTATTACTGTTCCTAAAGGTTAAAAACATAAGCAGAGATTATCTAGAGGTCTAAAATGCATATCTAAGCTCAGTGCTCTATGTGTGCTGTTCAGGACTTCTCTCAATCATTCAGGATTAGCCGTTAACTAATAAGAGAAGTACGCCTTTAGTAACTATGTGAGGATATCTAAGCTTTTCATCCTGTTGCGTCCTACTGAACCCATCAGTCCGTCCAGGTTAGTGGACTCCCAAAGACTGAGCCCTTACATGGTTTAGTTCATTTCAAGAGCGTCAGGAATTCATCGGCAGATTTTATTTTCTTTTATCTTATTTTAGAGGTCTCTGCACCGGGCTGTGAATCAATAAGTAAAATATCTGAGCAGATTAGGGTGAAACCAACAAAACCCATAAGGCTCATTCTTTGAGAAACGTTGTTTGGACGGAGATTAGAAGGCTTAGACGGCCATCCCTGTGAGTGCAGTCAGTGCTGACTGAATCAGACTTTAGATACTATGTGAGGACTTCCCTGTGTGGCTGGCTCAGCACTACCACCGTGTGGTACCTGTGTTTTCCAGCAGAGTCTTTGGAGTATTGGGTCTGTTAATGATCTCCACCAGCTGGTGCAGCACCATGGCAATGTATGGCTGCATTTCAGGCCCTGTATGTTTGATTCCAAGTAGGAAATAATGTTATTTTTTAAAAACCTATAACTAGGTTGGAAAAAAAGGAGGATCTGGAAGCATTTCACTCACCCATTTGTATGGATATCTCTCCAATTGCCCAGGTTGCATTGTTGCACACAGATATTAACTCTGGGTTCAGATTTGTACCCAGTATGGGCATAAAATCAGCTAAAAATAAAAAGAAGAAAATGATCAATTTTGGGATTGACTAAGTGACTTATTACCAAACTTGACTTCAAAGACCATAAGACATACCGATGCAGGGTTTTACATGTTGAAAACAGGCCTTAGTGAGATCCCCAAGCAGAGCAAAAGAGCTCTGACGCACCTCAGGCATTTTGTCCTGAAGTTGTGAAAAACATACAATTAACAAAACATGTCAGTCTACCTGTTTATAAAGCAATGTGCTTTGGGCAGCTCTTTACCTGCATGCACTGATACATGAGAGTCAGGATGTTGCTGCGAGCAACCAACTGCTCAATGGTGCCACCCAATCCCTCAGCCAGTCCACTCAGAAGATCCAGAGCCACTATCATGAAGTCTTTGTCTGGCGCCTCATACTGATCAGGTTGTGACTGATAAAGCTGAACAGTGAGAAAGAAATGAAGGATAATCACTACTAGAGATGTGACCGGTTACCCAACTATTTTTTATAAAATCAGAAATAAACTTCAATCAAAATAGTTTCCACACTTCTTTCCTGAGTGGCATTAATAATTCACAGGGAAATTCAGACCGCCTGGGTTTTCCCTTTAAAAAAAAAAAAAATTCAGAGCCGACATTCAGCAGCTTTTTATATTAGTCATATAAATGCTAAAGTTAGCCTGATAAGCATAGTAAAATTTCCCACTTCTAAGTCAATCTACAGATATCGCTTCTGCTAAATGATAAAAGTATTGAATTGTATTGCCCTTTTGTAGCCTAAATAATCTTAAGTCTTGTGTCAATATGTAAAAAAAAATCCCCTTAAATAGTTTCGAACATCTCGAAGTTCTTAAAGTGAAACTCACCCCATGTGAAAATATAACCACGCCCGCACATTTATTTAGAAAAATGTCACCAAGGCAGACTAGGAATCGGGCTGTGGTCAGTACAGGAGAATGTGGCGGCTAGCTTAGCCTAGCCTTAGCCTGAGGCATGGAGAGTTTTAGGTGCACTAGAAACAGATGAGGGCATCAAGTTTGCAATACCTAGAGCTGGTGGGGCTAACGAGGAACAGGTCTGTGTCTGAGTGAGTCGTATTTATACCAGAACGCAGAGCTATGATGACGAGGGCTCGTGCAGTTAGGGCTGCCATAATTAAAAAGATAAGATGATGGAAACCCCATGGCCATAGTCATGTTATTGCAATGTATCCATTTATTGTAAAACACTGCTGCATATTAAACATTATCTCCAACACTTATCTAAAGAGCAATGAACTACTTTATGTAGGATTTACATATGGTAGTAGCACAAGCACCTAAAGGTGGTCTTTTGGTTTGTATCAGACAACATTAAAAATACACTAAATAATAATTTTAGTTTAATGCATAAGATGTATGAAACAAGCAGAAGCTCATCTGCATACTCCATTACAGCAATCATTTGATCACTGATTGATCACAGATTTTTTTCTGTCCTTACGGGCGCTCCCCTGACTGTGAAGAAATTAGGGAGAAAAAAACAAAAAAACACCATATTTTAGGATATATTTGTTTGCTTGTATTATTTTTCTTCTCTTAGACTGTAAGCATGATTTTATCATTAAATAGCCATTTATATAAATGATAATGAACTTAACACAGACCATCAGTAGAACCACTGTATAATATTCCGTACCATACTGGCCTCAGGAGATGGTTGGTGTATAAGGGACTGGTGTTTGGGTTGCTGCTTTCTCAGTCTGTAGTGTTCCTTTACTAAGCACCACTGTAAACACTTGCTGCCAGCCTGACATATTTTATGATTTTCCTCGTACTCATCCCTGCTGACACTGTCCAGCCAGGGATTTTCTTCTTCCCACTCATGTCAGTATTTTACAAGCATTTCCTTCTGAGGAAGTGGTGAAGTACTGAGCATAATGAGGTGGATAGACAGCAGCGTAGATTTGTGGGAGGGCTCTTTCTTGGCAGCGCATGGAGCTCAAGAAGTCCTGCCTAGAACCGCCTCATCCATTCAGCTGATCTTCGTATTGTTTCTAAGAGTTGGTGTTTGTAACAGAGTGTTATGGACTTTTTTTTAAAAATATGAAACAAAATTATTTTCATTGTTTGTTTAATAAGGCCCAGCTTATACAGTCTAAAACACAAGAACAAGGTTATTTTGGTGTTAATATACACTTTAGGTTTTATAAAAAATAACCAGATTTTGATCACCAGATGATATCTTGGTGCATCTCTAAAACCCATGAATAATTATCAAAGTAAGATTAGAATCAGTGATTTTTCAATATTTTAACCCGTAAATAAATTTGACTTTCACTCACTAAACAAAGCGGAGAGCGTATGAAGTCATCCGCATGCGCCGGCTACCATTCCTTCATCCTGTCCGCTGAGCTGCTGCTAGTTTTACTCACATGCCTGGAAGATGTCTAGTGCTACTACCACAGATGATCTCGCTCTTGAAATGGAATTGAATGATTCAGATTAGCTAGCCGAATGAATAGAAGGGGTAGAGCGTAGCCGCCTGTGGCCCTGGCTGCCTGTCACAACTCCAGTCCACATGCGCGGATGACGCCATACACGCGCCGCTTTGTTTTTAAAAAGTATAAATATAAAAAATATAACCACAGATCTCTGGGGGACAGTGATTCACCTACATGTTATGAATGCTGACGTACTATAAAGAATAAATTATGAACAGTTTAGTTTTTGCCTTCAACTCGTTGCCCATGGGAAGACGTTACTTGGATATAACCTAACGGAATATCTTCAGAACAGCTCCAAATGACACAAAACTTATATGGGTGAGTAGAACATGATCTAATAACATAAAATCAAGGGCCCAATGTAAAAATACCGTAGTTTCTCTTTAATAGACTGGTTAGATTGGCTTTTCTGAGCCCGACAGACTCACCATAGCCTGGGCGAGTGTCTTCTGGACCAGATTGACGCATCGCTGGTAAACCGGCTCACAATAGGGAAGAAAGCCACTTTGAAGGGCTGTGGCTACGGATGATAAACACTGAGGAAGGCAGAAGGGGAAACCTTAAATTGAACCAAATAAAAGTTGTGTGGATACTTTCTGTACCTGGAGGGAAAACTTACTTCTAATAAAGGAAAAAGATCTTTGTCCTCATCTTTGAGCTGGTTCCATTTCTGTATCAGGGGCGGCATCAGCATCTGGATGTATTCCTATTACATTCAACACAAAGTTAAAAACTGTTATGTTAGAAATATCCTCAACAATCTCACCCAATAGAAGTGTTTTTTTTTTTCCTTTTACCTTCAGGAAAGCCTTTCTAGATTCATAAGATCTGAGAATGGACTTACCACCACTAGCACAACAAAAGGTAAAAGGAGGAAGCAGACGATAGCATGTGGTATGTCAAATTCACACAAACTAGGAAGCCAAACTGCACATTCTGTTGCTGCATACCGGCTTGTTAAGATGGTGTCCCACTGAATCTGCGAGCGTCCCTATGGCATCGTACAGAATGAGCAGGTTTTTGTGCTGGTACTTATTGAAAGCAAACACCAGCGTGTCCAGGATGAATGCCAGGTAAGGTACCAGCTCTGTGCAAGCCTCTTCCTCCAGGGTGGCAAAGGCACTATTGGGAGTAATCACAATTAGTGGTTATGGTCGGATATATGGTGGAGCATGGTATCCACTCACATTATACCTTTTTATAAGCACAAAAAAATCAAGAAGTTTGAATTGGATTTTATGGATTATATGAACACAGAGTAGTTTAATGAAAGAGGATACATGATATTCAAATTTGGTTTAAAACAAGAAAACAAGTGACATTTGAAAGAGTTTCCTGGTATTTTGAATTTAGCCTCTTTGTTCTAAACTTCTAAAGCAAATTTAGCGGTATAACCTAATGAGGGCACCAAACCACACTGGTAGAGTAGATAAAGCCAAACTGTATATGATTTAGTCTCAATCCAAATACTAGTACAATCATTATTTGAAGATGTATGCGTTTTGTTAGAGAACAGTGAGCATAGCCAGTTCTACACAAAACTTACCAGGGGTCTGTTTATTACTGATCTTGTTGAATGAGATGAGACATGGATCAGCAAAAGCTCAGAAAGATAGGGGGGAGCTAAGCCATTCAAACATTTATAAACCAGGAACAAAACCTTAATCCAAGAGAACATTATTCATAAAGAAAACAATAAACCTCAGGTAGAGACTGAGGCAAAGCTGAGGGAGAATCTGTCAACAGGACACCAGTTGGACTTTCATTCTACAAACTAACACTGCATGTCACATCCTTCCCACAGTGAAACAAGGTGGTGGTGGTGTCATGCTGTGAGGGGCACTGACCCTCAGCAGGGACAGGGAAGCTGGTTAGATGAGGAGGAGCTAAAAACAGGGCAATCCTGGTAGAAAACTAAAAAAAGTCACCAGTTTCAGAAATGGCCATTCACGGACAATCTTGTGTTATATTGCAAAGAAAAACATTTTTGTTCTATTTTTTTTAAATCTAAATTTGGAAAATGAGGCATAACTTAATGCTTAGAAGAAATCAAATCATGGATGTACTAAATTTTTTTCAACTGATTGAATTGCTCATCCTTTGTTCTGAAAAGTACTTCCCAAATTTTAAAGTTAGCACACAGCTTCAGGCATTGGAGCTTGAAATCACCAAACTATGTATACAAAAGGGCAATAGAATGCAATACTTTATCTTACTGTCATTCTATGTGACAGTAAGAGTGTCAGCCTTCTATCAACTAAAGAACATCTTCTGGATTAAAGGACATAAGTCTCAGCAGGACCTTGAAAAACTAATTCATGTGTTCATATTGATTACTGCAGTTGATCCAGAATGCTGCTGCCTGCATCCTCACTAAAACTAAGAAAGTAGAGAACATCCACCCGGTTCTAAAGTCCTTCCACTGGCTCCCCGTACCTCAGAAAATTAACTATAAATACTTCTGTTTGTCAAATCACTGAGAAGCTTAGCTCCAAAATAAAATGCAGACTTGTTTTCATAGAATGAACCCCCAGAGTTCTCAGGTGTTCAGGCTCCAGTCTACTCTGCAGCCAATACAAACAATGAGCAGCAGATTAGGGTCCTATGCTCCAGATATCTGAAACAATTCCTAGAAAGGTGAAAAAGAGCTTAAACCTTAAAAACTTACTTTAAATCAAGGTTGGAGACCTATTGTAAAGCTTGATATAAATTAAGGCAGAACAAATAATCACATTTACAATTTGGTTACATTAAATTTAACAAGAATAAGGCACTGACTTTTGACTCCAGCCCTTTAGGTGGTAGTAATATGCTTAAAGTGGGTTTACATGCAGAGTTTCTGATAGCATCTGAATCCATGAATGCCAGCAACTTTTACATTCCTTTGTCTTTTGCCAACTGACTCTGCACAAGTAAACTTTCCTTTGTCATAAAGCAACGAAACCCTGGAGTAAAACGTCTACATGCTTATAGGTTAATGCAAAAGAAAATAAACACATTGCAGTATTTTTTGATGCTCAATTTTTGACATTCAGCTCTTTTTTACAGAAACTTTTTAATGAAATTATTTTAGTTGTTGGACTATTGTCCAACTTTCTTTATCTTCCTCTATTTATATCCTCCTATCCGATTTATCCTATTTATATTCCTCGTTAATACTGAATCATGTTCATTCCAATATTAAAGCACTACTTTTCTGTTGATCATATAAGATCCTACATAAAATAGATTGTCTTGTGTTAAGTTTAGCAGGTGTGAGTATGGTGGAATCTGATTAAGCAGAGTATAATCTTTACCTGCACGCAGCTTCCTGCACGCGCTTGTTACTATCCAGTATGCGTTTCAGCAGTTCGGTCATTAGAGGCTTTAGGTAAACATCCGGGGGCTGGCTGACCACCCAGTGCGCATAGCGGCTCAGTGTCCAGCAGGTAATGGATCGCACCAGTGCCTTTTTGTCAGACAAGCACTGGATGAGATGTGGGATGAGCTCAGGTAGGTATGGGATCATGCCCTGCATGCAACCTGGAAAACATAAAGGAGATGAAGAAAAAAACTAAGCAGTGTTTGCATCTGATCTTTTTTCTATCCTCAGATCTTTCTCCTTATCCTACCTTCAGCTATAGCCCCCAGCACCAGGATGCCCGACTCTTTCACTACCCAGTCGGGATGGAAAAGCAGTTCTTTGAGAAGTGGAAGAATGTGCAGCAGGAGATCATCCCTGAAAACATTGGCTAACACATCCAGGGCTGCTGCAGAGCACTTTCCTAACATTTACAGAGCACAGGAAACAGACGAGGTTAAACGGAAAAAGACAAGGCAAGAAAAAAAAAAACAGGAAAATAATCACCAGTTTCTTTACAAGTTCTCTGCAAAAGTACAGAAATTATTTAAGATAACAAAACTCACGCAGGTTCCAATCAGAAATCGTATCGTCGTCATCCATCTCATCATCGTCATCATCGTCTTCCTCAATCCCATCACCCTCATGCTGTTGGGCGACTGTGCGAGAGCGGTGAAAGCGCGGTCTGATGTCTTGCTCGTTGTCTGGGACGGCTTCATCTTCCTCGATGTCTCCCTAAAAATAAACAGGGCTTCGCATTACGTCATGACATAAAAAAAAAATAAATAACTTGATATTTTTATCACATTAATTAATCCTTTCTTGAAAAGCACTAACACTTGTCCCAGATACCGTTACAGTCAGAACAACTTAATCCAAACGCATATTATCTTGATTCATGGAACAGATCATCTGAACGCTGACCTTGAGCAGGATAATGTCGATCTCGGAGTACTTCATCCCGTTGACAAGTACAGGAATGAGCCTGGAGCAACATCAAGGGGTAGAATTATGTGAAAAAAAAACAAAAAACATGCAAGGATAGGTCCAAGCCTACAGGCAATCACTCACATCTGAGGTCCTACTTTAGGCACATTTTTTATGGGACAGTTTTGATACCACAGGGATTCTTACTCATCCCACCATGAGGTAGAAATCGATCCGGCCACCCAGGCAGCCATGAATCAACCACTATTGCAATGATAGTACAGCACAAGCTTGTGTGGGTGTGTTCTTACTGAGACAGGTGACCGCACAGCACTTCTTTACAAACTGGCTGCTCGGCCAGCGTCAGCCAGAACTCACAGGCCTCCAAGGCGACATTCTCATCTGGGTCTCGAGTCCTCTGGAGCATGTACTGCAGTGACAGAAAAACAAAGATGCTTGTATGCATGTTCTCCATCTTTACTTTCAAGAATCGGCCTCAGCCTGTCAGCCAAACGTCTTTACCTCTATGATGTTGTGCATGTGAGGCAGGAGACGATCCAGGCGGACCTCAAGCAGCATGACGAGAGCTCGGCAAACATTCTTCCTCACTTCTGGCTCCTCGTCTGTCGCCAGAGCAAACAGGTTCTGCAAAAACACACAAACTGACGCCCTTTAGTACTGGAAATAAACAGAAACGGTGACGCAGGATATGGCGCCTCAGGGATGGACACATCAGTTGTTCATTTTATTTCAATTTGATTTTTTCTTAATAATGGACTGAAGAAGAAACTCAAATTACTGTAAAGGGTATGTTTAATTAATGTATTTTTAGATATAAAACTTGTGTGCCTCTACGAGCTTTGCAGATATAAAGAGGAAAATATTTGCCCATTTTCAAGCCTTTCCACTAGATTCTCAATTTGAATTAAGCCTGGACCATTCAAGTACCCCTGGTTGTGTTTCATCCTCTGCCCTGCAGGAAGGTCGACCTTCCCACTAGTTTCAACTGTCACAGGATTGCTATGGGAATCCCACAGTAAAGTATCCTGCCCAGGTTCTAACAAACTTCTGACGCCTTTACAGAATGGCTGAGAAGATTAAATCATACAAACAAATTTATTGAATTCATTAAGAAGCATCAGATCGCAGAGGTTGAATTATAAAGTAATTCCCCAGTGGAAACCATTTTATATAGATCATGTATTAGCTCCCATCCACCAGTTTTATCTGATCCGCCAAAGAAACCCTCTCCTAAAAAGCCTAACTTCTGTGTTTAAAATGTGACAAAAAGTGAGGATTAAAAGGAGAATGAAGACTCTTTATCACCTTATATGCAATTAAATTTTATAATATTTTCCCTCATCTTTACACCTTTCCGCTTCTGTAAACAAAGTTTCTGTTCTGATAAATAAAACATTTTCAAACACAAATTTGCCAAATTCATACTTCATGCACAGCTGCTTATCTTGCTTACCTCAATGAACGGGTCAATGTGAAGCATTAGAGCCTGGGTCCTGCTGATGATGAACTGGTTCACACAGGCGATGGCATGAGACCTGCAACACAATAACCCTCGCTGAAGTCACATCAGCCTGCTTTGCTCACATGCTGCACACTACAAATGCTGCCTCTGTGCTACTTTTTGCTGGGATCTTGTTTTGTGGAAATGCAGATAGCCATCAAATTCAAACTCAGGCTGAGAGCAGACCCAAGTTTTTTTTATTTCAACATAAAAAACAAGATATTTCAGGATCTACAGACACAAACCCTGATAAAGATAAATCTATATCTTTTACTGCAGCTCTGCAGACAATTTTAGAAAAATGTTTTTTTCAGTACATTGATTTTATGCAGAATTACAGGAATAAAAACAGGGGGAGAAAAAAAAAAAAAACTAAATTTAACTGAAGATTTTTATTTATACTTGTGTTAAGTTGATGAACTTCCATTTAGTCATTGAGAGATTCTAATTCCATGTTTATTTTATAGCTCACCTTAACAGAGCAGTATCTTTGGGTCACCAAGTCTCCATAGCAACCCTTAGATACTTTCAACAACACCAGCCTTTTGTTGTTTGTTGTTATTTTTGTTTTTTTTTAGAGGCATGGGAGGGAAAAACCTTTCATAGGATTACGAATATAAACATCTATAGTTGGCTGAACTGAAACTGCTGAGACAAAGAATGAGCAAAAGGAAAGTAGCTCATCCCCACTGTTAGGTGTGGCAGGTGATGTGTGATGCTGTGGGCTTGTTTTCCTCTCAAATGTGAATGGAAGCTTGTAAGACAGTGTATGGTATAATATTTTAACATTAATATTTCCCCTTATAGGGTATTAAAACAAGCGGTGATCCCAAACAAATGGTCAAATCTACACATAAAAGTTTTTCTTGTCTTTTAATTAAACATTTTTAATTTTGGTCGTCTGATCTAGAGCACATAGAGGCCCTGTGAGGTGGGTTACAGGGCATTGCCACATTCACTGAAGTGTATAAAAACAATCTTGCTTTCATCAAAAGAGGCTTTAAAAATTTGGATTTGAGTTACCTAATTTTTGGGCTGTTGTGTTTGAAAAACTGCAAGAACTTGGGTATCATAATGTTCAGTGGCCGATCCAGCATGTCACTGTCCAGGATCTCAGCAGAGTCCTCGCAGATCTTCTGCAGAGCCCCGAACGCCCCCTAAAAAACAAGGAAAAAAAAAATAAAAAAAATACATGAGAGGGATCCCATTATCGCAATTGCAATTATTCAAACCTCCTAAATATTTAATTACGTTTTAAACACATAATCTTCCCTACAGTAAACAAAAATGTCAAGATGGCTACATGAGGATTCACCTGCTTCTATGAGAATAACCTTCAAACTCAAACACACCTCTGTGAATATTAGATGCTTGTTTAGTATGCAGCCTTTACAATATGGTGCACAGTCTAAAAAAAGCAGCCCTGGGAAGGCAGACTGCACAGACAGACTGTGCGAAATGCGTTTCCATGGAAACCTGCTCCTATGTCAGGTTTCCTCTTAGATGATAGAGAGGGTGCAAAAAAAAAGTGGGGGGATGAAATAAGATGGAAAAGGGTACGGTGTCAAGGTCACAGACGGTGACGCCATCAAGCGGTTTCACTCATTAGAATGCAAAGTTCCTTCAAAAAAATTAGTGAGAAGTAGCTTCTGTAAATGTCATTGTTGGAGTTGACGGAAGGAAAATATTGTAAAAATCCTTTGATGTGCGTGACATTTAACGGTAGATAAAATAAATACCGGTACAAGCAGATTATGATAAGATATAACTGGCTTTCCTACAGGAAACAAGCCACTCCTGGTGAAATAAACAAGCTCAAATAAGAGCAGGCAGAGGCAGAGGAATGGGGGTACAGGGAGCCTAGTCCTCCCCATGTTGAGTTTAAGTGAAAGTCTACCATTGCACGACTGAATCTATGCAGGTAGCTCGAGGATGGATTCAAAGAAATGTTTGTTCAGCAAATTTAACAACCCTGGAAATATAAAAAATAAAATACAAGAGCATTGATGAAGAGCTCACACACAGCGACGACCAACGCAAGCATATATGAAATTAAACTGACCTTTACAACCCGACTGCATCCACATGCCAGCTGCCATTAATCAAAACAGTGAAACTGTCTGGGCAAACCTATATTAAGCCATCCCCCAGTCTTACACCTGCTTCTTCCTTTTTTTAGAGCACGCAGAGTGTGGAGGGGGGGATGTAAAGCAAAGCCACATGAGTTTGGCCTGTTCTTCCAAATGCTGAACTGAAACTACATTAGCGAGACTGAAACTAAAATCATAGTGCTAAAAAATTCTGTTACTACTTTGGATCATGTTGCACCCGCAATTCGGTTAAGATGGCGATGACGTCCGATCGCACCATCAGGCCTCGGCTGGTGATTTTATAGACTGTCTCCACTCACAGTGCCAGGCCTGTTGGCGATACAAGAAAGCTGAGCATCACATCATAAATCTAAAATAATTGCAGAATATCTAGACCATCACTATTAAAATGAACTGAACACAGAAAATATTTCTCATTTCTTGAATCTTAAAGCCCTGTCCAAAAATAAAAACGGATATAAGAGAACAAGTAGCCGTTTCAGTATGGGTTTATTCATGGTTTTTGTAATTATAAGCGGAATGAAATCGGTATGATGGCTCACATTATATTGGTAAACATATCTAGAACTAGAATCAGAGCCCTTTTAAAGCACAAGGTTCCTGTCGGTGTTCAGACATACCCTACAGCAGACGGTGAGCTCTGCACAGGCTTTTTAAAAACAAACAGGCTATTCTTTTGTGCACATATTTTAAAACGCTAGTTTAGATTTTTTTTTATAACCTTCTTAAAAAACATTCCTAATGGAGACAATGCGGATTCTTGTCGGTGTCATGAGAGCTGCTCTCCAAAAGAAAACTATGCAGAAAGCAGTTGTAAAGCTAATTTACAACGCTGTAAAAGAAAAAAAGAGATGAGGAGAAAAAGCTTATTGCAAACTCAAAAAGTTCAAAACCTTCAAAAACTCTGGTGCTAATGTACATGTAGCTGTTCAGATTATCTGCAAATGTAGCTTCATGGTGATCAGTGATAGGAGAGGGATTTCCTTTTGAATGGAACAGCCATTTAGCATCAGAGGTTTAAAGAAGAGAAATCAGCTAAAATGATTTAGATTTACAGTTTACCCACTCTTTAAAATGTCACATTATAATACTAAATCCTGCAAAAACAACAGAAGCATCTTTGACAAGATTCACAGAAATCCAGACCCTAAATCTCAGAATCATACTAAATGTAGAGTATACCTCCATTATCGAATACCTTTTACTGTTAGACCGAATTATTATTTGGTATATCTGATATGTTGAAAGTGCTTCCAGTAGCAAACGATTCAGTAGTATTATCCACATTGGAAACGCAGCCTGGGAATAACAAGTAGGCAAAAATGCATCTTTTAAACACATTTAAACCTGGAGGACAATTTGTGCTCCAGCATTAAACTAGACTATCTTCAAAAATGAGACATTAAGAAGCTTTACTGCCTTCAAGCTGCTTTTGGAAAACGTATCAGCTCTACTAAAGGGTTTTTACATTTAGTCGCTGTTCAATCTTAAGCCTTACACACACACACACACACACACCGACACTTCAAGATCCACTGCAGTAAACAGCTGACCTAAATCTAAGACTCTGAATCAGCTTTATAGGAGATGATGGCAGCGTTGCCACAAGGGGATCCATTTTTATTCTTTTTTCTCGTCAGCCGCACCCCTTCCTTAGATTTCAGATAAATCTTCTCCCTGAACGTCATCTGGACATTCCTGCTGCATTGAACGATCCTGTCAGGATACATTTCTATGACTCAGCTGCATGTAGCATGACAGTTCCAACATGCTACCTGTTCATCTAATATAACGGACCAAGCTGCAGGCACAGCTCGTATTACTGACATCCAACATCTAAAACCCACAAAATCAAAGATGAATTATGGGCACAGCAGGTTTATGGAGTTACAGAAAATGCTAATCTTTTTACTAATTTGCCAAGCAGTAAAATCAGTATTAAACTGTGAAGCTGACATTGAAATAAAAACAACTGAATCACAATGGATGAAATATTAAAAAAAGACAAAGATTAAAAGAAGGGAGTCATGTGCTGCAAAAAAAAAGCCATTCTGGGCGATTATGTGTGAAAAATGGGGTCATATGGTTTTCTGGTTTGGACAGACTGATAAGGTTCCATGCTGTATAATCTGCATTGGTAGCTGCCGCTCCAGCTGTGAGGCTGCTTTAAGCTCATCTGGCCAGCAGGATGGCATCCAGATGCTGTTTTGTCTCTTCTAGTCTTACAACAAATTAACGCACATTATACCAGACATCAGAGGGAAGCATGCTCACTCTCAGCCCCTTTATTACCATACCCTAAGAGAATTTAGCCTTTTATTTCATGTTACATTTTAGGGTGTTTTATTAGGATTTTATGTGACAGACCAAGACAAAGTAAAAGCCCTTACACTTTGCTCCATTACCCCTAAATACAATCCAAGGCAAGTTACAGCTTTTGAAGGCACCAAGTCAGGTAAAAGTCCTACTTGAGTATAATATGGCTGCCCTTTCAATGCCTCCCAACGTTTTTAGAGAGTCCCAGCAGACAAGTCAGGGGGACACTTATGGAGGTTTGATGCACTGTTTGGTTTCAAAAGATTATCCCAGGATTTTAACATTTATCAAAGTATTGTTCGATCCATCACCCAAAAAAATAGAGCATGAAACAGCTATAATGGGCATCCAGCTAAAAGGACAGCTTTGATGGCTATGGAGAAGATACGAAGAACAGGAGAATCTATTTCTGTCCTACCTCAAAAAAATAAAAAAAATAAAAAATCCCAATAAAATGCTCATTTGTTTGTTTTTTTTGCATTTAAGCATGTAGGGAATAAACATGCCGAGGTCTGATGAAACCATAACAGAACTTTCTGGGCAGCATGATGTTAGGAGTAGCGGAAACCCTGAAGGTTCATCAACATTCCTTTGGTGAAACATAATGGCAGCAGCATTATGCTGAGGGGATTCTTCACACAGCAGGAAGAGAGAAACTGTGGTCACAGCTAATGAGAAACTGGACAGAGCTAAAAATGCTGGAAGAAAACCTGTTTTGCTTTCTAGTGGGAAAAACTGTTAAAACACAAAAGCCCAATTAAACCAGAGACTAAGCCCTGATGTTTAACAGACAATTTCAATCCAGTCTAACTGATCTTGAGCTGTTTTGCAAAAACAAAAAGGCCAAAATTTGACAGAAGTGATTAAAGACTTCCAGCTGTAGCTGCAGTGAAAGCTGGACATAAGCCGTATTGACTCAGGGTTGCATACAAACACACAAACAAACAGAGGTTCGACTCCTCTCCTGTGGAACCAATCCCAGTTTTAGTCTGCTGGGCAGACACTGTGTCTACTTTTAAGGTAGGCTTAAAACGTTCCTTTTTGATAAAGCCTATAGTGAGAGTGACGCAGGTTATCCTGAGCTATCTCTATAGTTATGCTGCTATAGCCTTAGACTGCTGGAGGACATAGGAACCACTTTTCCTCATTCTATCTCTAATCTCCAACTCTGCAGAATTTGTTAGTTCAATCTCTAACCCTATGTTCTATCTGCTTTTTCCTCATTGTAGTTTCATGTGGTCTGTTCTTGAAGAGAAATAGCAGCTGTGCTGCTGCCATCAACACCTTTGTTTATAGATGTTTGAGCTCGGCCTATTTTTCAGTGTAGTCCTGTTTCTCTGATTGTGACTAACTGGATGTGCTATTTTCGTCCTCTAACATGGGGGCTGGCTCGGAGCTCTTCTGCCTGGACGGGGCCACCTGTAGAGTTGGTTAACAAATTCCTTTTTTATCTCTGCTTATTTCTGTAGATCTTCTGTGTCACTGAACCCCAGTTGGCCTTGGCAGATGCTGCTTAGAGTGAGCCTGGTTCTGCTGGAGGGTTCTTCCTGTTTTTCCTCTCCACTGTCACTAAAAGCATGCTTGGGGTGAGGGA